CTTTCATTATGTGCATATATGGAAATACAGGTGTAAGATACTTAATTATATGCAGATACGGAAAGACAGGTATTCCAGAATGCAAACACAGGTGCATATTTGTTGCATTGCGCATACAATGGCCTCCAGGCTATCTCTGTTAAGACATAAATGAACTTGGTGTTTAGATTTGGATCCCATCCCCAATATGTTTAATTGCATGTATATATGCAGGTATTCCGGAATCCAAATACAGGTATATATTGCATTACATATTTAAAAAGGCCTCCAGGCTATCTCTGTAAAGTGTATACAAGACATAAATTAATTTTTCCTTTGCATCCCATCTCCAAGATAATTTCATTATGGACGTTTATGGAAATATACAAGTCTTCCAAAACATATCCGGTCCTAAGCCTTTTTGGAGAAGGGAAAGGAAGGGTAAGTCAGGTTGCAACCTTCGGGGCACAGACCTGCTCCTGAACTTGTTTGTTAGGCCAAGCTTTGCAGCAGCGTCTTCATTCGCCTTCATGTTTCCGCTCCGAAGGCTGAAAGCAATGCATCCGGTTCTTCTCAATCTGCCTCAATGGAGGAAGATAATGAAGATGATGATGGCGCACACCCACCAACCTTCCGTGGATTGACCTTTTGGATGCAGAGCTCCACAGTCCCCTAGGACAGTGGTTCTCAACCTTGCTAATGCCATGACCCCTTAATGCAGTTCCATATGTTGTGGTGACCCCCAACCATAATATTGTTTTCATTGCTACTTGATACCTGTCATTTTACTACTGTTATAAATCGTAATGTAAATATCCGATATGCAGGATGTATTTTCATTCACTGGACTAAACTGAGCACAAATACCCAATATGCCCAAATGTGAATGCTAGTGGGGTTGGGGGGGAGGATTGATTTTGTAATTTGGGAGTTGTAGTTGCTGGGATTTATAGTTCACCTATAATCAAAAAGCATTCTGAACTCCACCAGCGATGGATTTAAACTGAACTTGGCACAAAGAACTCCCATGACCAACAGAAAACACTGGAAGGGTTTTGTGGGCATTGACCTTGAGTTTGGGAGTTGTAGTTCACCTATATCCAGAGGAGCACGGTGGATTCATGCAATGATGGATCTGGACCAAACTGGGCACGAATACTCAGTATGCCCAAATGTGAACACTGGTAGAGTCTGGGGAAAATGGACCTTGACATTTGGGAGTTGTAGTTGTTGGGATTTATTATTCCCCTACAATCAAAGAGCATTCTGAACTCGACCAACAATAGAATTGGGTTAAACTTCCCACACAGAATCCCAATGACCACCAGAAAATACTATGTTTTCTGATGGTCTTTGGCGACCCCTTTGACACCCCCTCACGACCCCTTCCAGGGTCCCGACCCCCAGGTTGAGAAACACTGCCCTAGGAGAATACTCTGACTTTAAGCAGGCTAATCAGTGTGATGTCTTTTGGGAAGACGTCAGAGCAGTCAGCTGGTGCGCCCACACTGGATAATTGATGCGGTTTGCAACCACTTTTAACTGCCATGTCTCAATGCTATGGAATCATGGGAGCTGTAGTTTGCACTCCTTGGCAGAGAAAGCTCCAGGCTTTGCAAAACTACAGCTCCCACAATTCCATAACACCACTTGACACCATCATGGTGTCAAGCTGTATTCATTCTACAATTTATTTATTTATTTATTTATTTATTTATTTATTATTCGAACTTATATGTTGCCATTCCCCTGGGGCTCGGAGCGACTTACAAGAATGGCTAAAATCTAACACAATTTAAAAACAATTTAAAACAATTTAAAAACAGCAATATCAAAAATCAAAGGCCTGTCGAAACAGGTATGTCTTACATGCCCTGCGGAAAGCTGATAAGTCCCGCAAGGCACGGACTTCAGGTGGCAGAGTATTCCAGAGTGATGGTGCCACTGCTGTAAAGGCTCTGCATCCGGTTGCTGTTAAACACAAGGTCTTGACACTGGGAATTTCCTAAAGATCTTGGTCCTCAGAATGGAGGAATCTCTGGGGTTGGTAGGAGGTGAGGCGGTCGTGCATCCAAAGCAATAACACAATACTATGGAGCCCTGGGAGTTGTAGTTTTCCAACGCTTTGGTTCTACACTAGAATGAAATGCACCTCTAACCATCATTTATTTATTTATTTACGACATTTATATTCCGCCCTTCTCACCCTGAAGGGGACTCAGAGTGGCTTACAAGGTTATACATACATATATATACATACAACATATTATTAACATAGTACAATATCAGTTTTAAATATTGCTATATTGCACTATATCAATTATACTGTAATATTATTAGTAATATTACATGTAATATAAATATATAATTAGAATATCATATTATTATTACTAGTATTATATTGCATTACATTACAATATTATAAATGTATAATATTTATATATATATAAATATTATACATTTATTATAAATGTATAATATTATATATATATATATATATATATATATATATATATATATATAATATGTATAATATTTTTATATATAATATTATAAATGTGTAATATAATAATCATGGCTCATTACTATGGCATTGTGAGATTTGTAGTTTTGCAAGGACTGTAGCCTCGTCCGCCCAAGGGGGCTGCTGCCTCATCAAACTATATATCCCAGAATCCCATAACATCGAGCCACAGCAAACTACTTTTACACCTGCAACTCTATTGATGGTGAAAGGAAATAAGCTGAAGACAAAGAAGGCTGAAAAAGAGGGATGGCAAAGATTTCAATCAGGATTAATCCTCCCAAATATAGTCAATTGGAGGGAACAAAAGATGATGTTGATGATATATTATCTATATAAATAAAAATGTAATGTTCGTTTGTGGGATTAACATAATGCAAAAACCATTGGACGAATTGATACCAAATTTGGACACAGGACACCTATCAGGCCAATGAGTGACCATCACTCATAAAAATACTGAAAAACACTGCAGAAGAGACTTTAAAGGCCAAAAAAAAAATACATTATAACACATGCTCAAACCACATATATACAGTATACAAACACATAAAGGTAAAGGTAGTCCCCTGACATTAAGTCCAGTCATGTCTGACTCTGGGGTGTGGTGTTCATCTCCATTTCTAAGCCGAAGAGCCGGCGTTGTCCGTAGACACCTCCAAGGTCATGTGGCCGGCATGACTGCATGGAGCGCACATACACACACACACACACACACACACATATATATACATAAACACAAATATCTACACACACACATATACACAGACTGGGCCACAGCAACGTGTAGCAGGGGACGGCTAGTTAGCAATATAAATAAAATGTAATGTTCGTTTGTGGGATTAACATAACTCAAAAACCACTGGCTGAATTGACACCAAGTTTGGACACAATACGCCTAGCAGGCCAATGAGTGACCATCACTCATAAAAATACGGAAAAACACAGCAGGAGAGACTTAAAAAGCATATATATATATATATATATATACACATTACAATGCATGCGCAAAACCACACACACATATATATGCAAACACACATATATACAGTGGGTTAATCACTGGGTTAACCCAGTGATTCCGGCCATGAAAGCCTTCGACAATACACACATATATATATACACATATACACAAATATTCACACACACATATATGCACACACAAAACACATATACACAGACTGGGCCACAGCAACGCGTGGCAGGGGACGGCTGGTCAATAATAATAATAATAATAATAATATTGTTGTAGGTTTTTCCGGGCTATATGGCCATGTTCTAGAGGCAATTTTCTCCTGACGTTTCGCCTGCATCTATGGCAAGCATCCTCAGAGGTAGTGAGGTCTGTTGGAAGTAGGAAAATGGGTTTATATCTCTGTGGAATGACCAGGGTGGGACAAAGGACTTTTGTTTGCTGGGCTAGCTGTGAATGTTTCAGCTGATCACCTTGATTTGCATTCAATGGCTTGGAAGCACCTGGGGGGAATCTTTTGTTGAGAGTGATTCCATGTGCCTGTTTGTTTCCCCTCTGTTGTTTTACTGCTGTAATTTTTGAGTTTTTTAATTTCAACAGAAAGGAAGAAACCATGAAAATGAACAAAATCTGGATACCAGTATTAAAAAACTCAAAAATTACAACAGCAAAACAACAGAGGGGAAACAAACAGGCACATAAAATCACTCTCAACAAAAGATTCCCCCCAGGCGCTTCCAAGCCATTGAATGCTAATCAAGGTGATCAGCTGAAACATTACCCTGGTCATTCCACAGATATATAAACCCATTTTCCTACTTCCAACAGACCTCATTACCTCTGAGGATGCTTGCCATAGATGCAGGCGAAACGTCAGGAGAAAATGCCTCTAGAACATGGCCATATAGCCCGGAAAAACCTACAACAACCCAGTGATCCCGGCCATGAAAGCCTTCAACAATACAATAATAACAATAATAATAATAATAATATATGAGGATGATAATAATAATTATAGCAATATTAACATATCCCACCTTTCTCCCAGTTTGAGATTCAAACCCTGAGCCCATAAGATGGGATATGAGTCAATATTTCCACCAACCTCTTTGGGTTTTAGTCCGAACTGTAGAAAGACCTCAAAGAGCTGCAGAACCCTTTGGGAAGGGAAGGGTTAAAAAAAGGTTCCCTGTCCCTTTAAGAGCATCCCAGGTGTGTGTGTGTATATGCCTTCCCATTCACACCTGTTGCTCTTTTCCCTCCCTCCAATGAGCGCCTGGGAAGGAGTAGTGGGCGTGGCCTCCTCCCTCCAATAAGGAATCTCCGAGAAAGGGGAAAAAACTCCATTTCCCGGCAAGCTTTGGGAATTTGGAGCAGGCGCAGGCGCAGTGAGGAGCCGAGCCCTTGCATTCTCTCTCGCAGTTGCAGCCCATTGTCTCTGGCAGCGTTTCTCCCTCCCGCCCCCTATTGGCCAAGCGGCGCGTCAATCCCGCCTTTCTCTCTCTCGTAAGCCCCGCCCTTTTTCCCGGGTCTCCCTTTCTTCCCCGCCTGGCGCGCGCTGCCTTTGCTGCTGCTGCTGCTGCTTTTGCATTGGCTGCTCCTCCTCCTCCTCCTCGGCTCGCCTTTTGGGCTCTTTCTCCCGGGTTTCTCCTGCGCCTTTGGATGCGGAGGGCTGCACCGCATGGAGGCAGCGCCCCGGGGGCTCCTTTGTCGCCTCCTTTGCCTCCTCTCCTTCCTCCCCACCCTCCTCCTCCTCCGCTGGGAAAGATGATGAAGTTTCGCTTCCGAAGGCAGGGCCACGACCCGCAGAGGGAGAAGATCAAGCAGGACCTCTTCGCCTTCAATAAGGTCAGGGAATCGGGATGTTTGGGGGGTTTGCAACACCCCTTTCCTTGCAAAAGCCATGGGGATATTTGTGTTGGGGGGTTTGCACCACCCCTTTCCTTGCAAAAGCCATGGGGGTATTTGTGTTGGGGGGTTTGCAACACCCTTTTCCTTGCAAAAGCCATGGGGGTATTTGTGTTGGGGGGTTTGCACCACCCCTTTCCTTGCAAAAGCCATGGGGATATTTGTGTTGGGGGGTTTGCACCACCCCTTTCCTTGCAAAAGCCATGGGGGTATTTGTGTTGGGGGGTTTGCAACACCCCTTTCCTTGCAACACAGTGGGGGCATTTGTGTTGGGGGGTTTGCAACACCCCTTTCCTTGCAACACAGTGGGGGTATTTGTGCTGGATTGGGGCCTTGCTTTAGGGGATGCTTGGGGTCTCCTTTCCTCGCCCACCCTTCTTTCCCTAGCTTGGCTTCCAACATCCCTCCTTGGCTAGCTTCCCTTGTAGTACCCCCTCCTTCCCATTCTTTGCTTGGAAAAGCCATAGGGTTGTGCTGGATGGATTGGGGCCTGACATGCTTTGGATTTGGGAGGGGGGTGCTGATTAAAAATGGGCATATGCACAACAAAGTGAATGTGTGTGTGTATGTATGTATGTGTATATATATATATATATATATATATATACACACACACACACACACACACACACACACACACATACACACACTCTCTCTCTCACACACACACACACACACTCTGTATATGTGGGTGCAACACCCCTCCTTTGCCCTGGAATTGTAATAGGAAGAAAAGGTCTTCCAAAAGCATCCTAAAACCCAACAGCAATAAAAACAATATGTATATGTATATACCCTGTGTATGTATATGTGGGTGCAACACCTCTTCTTTGCAGTTGAATTCTAATAGGAAGACAGGCTCCCAAATGTACCCAAAACCTAAGGCCACAATAACAATAATATGTATATGTATATACCTTGTGTATGTATATGTGGGTGCAACACCCCTCCTTTGCAGTTGAATTCTTATAGGAAAGACAGAGGCTCACAAAAGTACCCCCAAACCCAAAGCAACAATAACAAAAATATGTATATACCCTGTGTATGTATCTGTGGGTGAAACACCCCTCCTTTGTCATGGAATTGTAATAGAAAGACAGAGTATCCCAAAAGCACCCCAAAAACCAAGGTAATAATAATAATATTGCAAGGCCCTCAAACACAATGGAGAAAATGGGGGTGCAACACCCCTCCTTTGCTGTGGAATTCTAATAGGAAGACAGAGTCTCCCAAAAGCACCCCAAAAACCAAGACAACAACAATAATATTGTTGGGGGAGGGGAAGGGGGGGTCCCCTCATAGCATTGAGACCTTGTCATGCTCGTACCCTTCCTCATCGTTTTTTGGAGGGGGCTCCCTCTCGTAGCACCCCTCCTTTGCCTGCTTTGTCTGCAAAGGCCATGGTGTCCTATAGGATTGAGGGGTGCTTTTGAAGGACCCCCCTTTCTCCATTGTGTTTGAGGGCCTTGCAACAATAGTTATTATTATTATTGCCTTGGGTTTTGGAGTGTTCTTAGGAAGACAAGTCTCCCCAAAGCACCCCAAAACCCAAGCCAACAACAGTAACAACAACAATATTCTTATTGCAAGGCACTCAAAGCTAGTAAAAGAGGGGCAACCAGAATGGGAGGAAAGGGAAGGGGGAATCCCCTCATAGCCTTGATGCTGGAGGTGTGCTCTTTCCCTATCCCAACGTTTTGTGGTGTGTTCCCTCTCTTGCACCATCCCTACTTTGCTAGCTTTGTCTGCAAAGGCCATGGTGTCCTATAGGATTTAGGGGTGCTTTTGGGTACCCCCCCTTTTTCCATTTTGTTTGAGGGTCTTGCAACAGTATTTATTATTATTGTTGTTGTTGTCTTGGATTTTGGGATGCTTTTAGGAAGACACAGTCTCCTGAAAGCACCCTAAATAATAATAATATTGCAAGGGCCTCAAACACAATGGAGAAAGTGGGGGTGCAACACCCCTCCTTTGCCCTGGAATTCTAATAGGAAGATAGAGTATCCCAAAAGCACCCCAAAACCCAAGGTAATAATAATAATATTGCAAGGGTACGGTTGTTTTTTGTAATTTATTTATTTATTTATCGTGTCATCAGCAACCATTGTATTACAATTCTAACAGAGCAAAACAAACACAGAGATTAAAAAGAAAAAGAAAGAAAAAAAAACCACACAGATTTTGTAAATTTGGTATTTGGTTAAATGTCCTTTGACCAGTATCTGGCCACTTGATAATTGTGCATTGTAATTGCTTATTGGTAATTTATGGATAATGTGTTAAGTCAATTGTTATATGTTGTATGGAACCACTGCTGTTTCTACTGTTTTTACTGTTTATGAACCGCTGTGAGTCGCCTTCGGGCTTGAGATACAGCGGTATATAAGCAAAGTAAATAAATAAATAAATAAATAAGGGCCTCAAACATAATGGAGAAAATGGGGGTGCAACACCCCTCCTTTGCCGTGGAATTCTAATAGGAAGACAGAGTCTCCCAAAAGCACCCCAAAAACCAAGACAACAACAATAATATTGTTTGGTGCTTTTGGGGGACCCTCCCTTTCTCCATTGTGTTTGAGGGCCTTGCATTATTATTATTTATGGGGTTTGGGGGTGCTTTTGGGAGACTCTGTCTTCCTAAAGCACCCCAAAACCCAAGGCAATAATAATAATATATATTGTTGCAAGGCTCTCAAATACAATGGAGAAAGGCAGGGTCCCCCAAAAGTACCGCTCAATCCTATAGGACACCATAGCTTTTGCAGATAGCTAGCGGAGGGGTGCTGTAAGCAAAGCAGGGGTGCTGCAAGAGAGGGAGCCCCCCACAAAATGATGGGGAAGGGAAAGAGCACACCAAGGTTCTCATCTAGTATCAGTGCTATGAGGGGAGTCCTCCCTTTCTCCCCCCCCCCCATACTGGTTGCCCCTCCTTTACTAGCTTGGCTCCCATCACCCCTTCTTTGTTTGCACTGAGCTACATCTGGGTTTTGGGGGGTGTTGCCCTTTCAGTGTGTTGTGTTTTGGGGGGAGGGTAGGATCCCAACATTCTTTCTTTGCTTGCTTTGCTAGCTTGGTTTACATCATCCTTCTGATAGTGTTATTGGGGGGGGGGGCACCATGGAATTGTGCTGGATGGCCTTGAGTTTTGGGGGTGCTTTTCAGAAGGGGCTTCTCCCTTATACCACACTTTTTGGGGAGCCCGGTAGCACCTTCCTTTGCTATTATTTAGAGAGAAAAAATCTCATGTAGCATTGATGCTGGATGAGAACCTTGGTTTGCTTTTGGAAGGACCCTCTTTCCCTTCCCCATCATTTGGGGGGGCTCCCTCTCTTGCAGCACCCCTCCTTTGCCTGCTTTACTCCCCGCACCCCTCCTTTGCTTTGTCTGCAAAAGCTTTGATGTCCTATAGGATTGAGGGGTGCTTTTGGGGGACCCCTCTTTCTTCATTGTGTTTGAGGGCCTTGCAAAAACATTATTATTATTATTATTATTATTATTATTATTATTATTATTATTATTTTACTGACACAAAAACACAGTATGTCACAGCAAATGAGATCTATATGCTGGATTTCGTATCACAAAATCACAAGTCGAACACTTCCCAAGCGTCTAGTACTCTGTGATTTTTTATTATTATTATTATTATTATTATTATTATTATTATTATTATATTTATTGCCTTGTGCTTTTGGGTGTCTTTGGGAGACTGTCTTCCTATTAGAATGTCACTGCAAAGGAGGGTGTTGAATAAACCATTATTCTAACCTCCTTCAATGTAAATGGGATTTTGTATCCTTCCGATAATAATAAACACAGCAAAATAATAAATGTTATAAAAATAATAATAAAGTAATGTAAATGTAATAATAACAGTAATAATAGAGTAAAAAAATTAATAATAATAAAAGTAGTAATAGAGTAAAATTATAAAGATAATATAGTAAAATAATGTAAATGTAATAATAACAACAATAATAATAAAGTAATAAAAGTAATAGTAATAGAGTAAAATAATATAATAATTGAGTAAAATAATAAATGTAATAATAATTGAGTAAAATAATAAATGTAATAATAGAGTAAAATAATGTAAATGTAATAATAATAATTGAGTAAAATAATGTAAATGTAATAATAATAATTGAGTAAAATAATGTAAATGTAATAATAATAATTGAGTAAAATAATGTAAATGTAATAAAATAATAATAGAGTAAAATAATATAAATGTAATAATAATAATAATAGAATAAAATAATATAAATGTAATAAAAATAATAAATAGAATAAAATAATAAATAACTTTGACTTTAGTATAAGCCGAGGGGGGCTTTTTCAGCATTAAAAAAGGACTGCAAAACTCATCTTATACTCAAGTATATACAGTATATATACACATATTTATTTAGTTAAACATATGCCCCTTTTTCATCCACATCTCTCCTTTTGTGAGCTTTTTTTGCATAGAGTTTAGTAGGGGTCGGGACTTTGGGGAGATCCCCCCCCCCATTATTATTTATTATTTATTTTTGCGGGATGTGAGCTTGCATTACTCCTTTATTGCTATCTTTGCTTCCAGCCCCTTCCTTGGTTTTGGGGGGCTCTCCTTGCCTTCCTTGCAACACCCCTCCTTTGCCAGCTTTACCTTGTGGACTTCTATTGGGAAGACAGACTCCCCAAAGCACCCCCAAACCCAATGCAAAACCCTCATATAGCACAAACTTTTAGCAAAAGGGGGTGCCACAAGAAACCTCATGAAAGAAGGACCCCCAAATAAGAAAACCCCAAGGTCCTGATTCAATACAACCCCATGGCCCTGATTTAACCCGCATTCAGCACAACAGAGCTAGCAAAGAAGGGGTGCCACAAAGAAAACTAGTAAAAGGAGGGACCCCCTTCCAAAAAGCACCCCCTAAACTTCGGTCCTGGTCCAGCAC